ATCCAATCTATTCCCAAGCATTCCCAGCCACTTCCCAAGAATTCCCAGCTCCTTCCCAAGGAATCCCAGCTCCTTCCCAGCAATCCCAGCTCATTCCTGAGAAATCCCAGCTCATTCCCAAGAAATCCCAGCTCCTTCCCAAGAAATCCCAGCTCCTTCCCAAGAATCCAAACTCCTTCCCAAAAAAATCCCAGCTCCTTCCCAAGGAATGCCAGCTCCTTCCCAAGCAATCCCAGATCATTCCCAGCAACCCAATCTACTCCCAAGCATTCCCAGCTCCTTCCCAAGGAATCTCAATTCCTTCCCAAGCAATCCCAGATCATTCCTGAGCAATCCCAGGTCATTCCCAAGAAATCCCAGATCATTCCTGAGCAATCCCAGGTCATTCCCAAGAAATCCCAGATCATTCCCAAAATCCCAGCTAATTCCCAAAAAATCCCAACTCCTTCCCAAAAAAATCTCAACTCCTTCCCAGCAATCCCAACTCATTCCCAAGCAATCCAAACTCCTTCCCAGCAATCCCAGCTCCTTCCCAAGAAATCCCAGATCATTCCCAAGCAATCCCAGCTCCTTCCCAAGGAATCCCAGCTCCTTCCCAAGGAATCCAAACTCCTTCCCAAGGAATCCCAGCTCCTTCCCAAGGAATCCCAGCTCCTTCCCAAGGAATGCCAGATCATTCCCAAGCAATCCCAGTTCCTTCCCAAGAAATCCCAGCTCCTTCCCAAAAAATCCAAGATCATTCCCAAGAAATCTCAACTCCTTCCCAGCAATCCCAGCTCCTTCTCAGAAATCCCAGCTCCTTCCCAAAAAATCTCAACTCATTCCCGAGCAATCCCAGCTCCTTCCCAAGAATTCCCAGCTCCTTCCCAGCAATCCCAGATCATTCCCAAGCATTCCCAGCTCCTTCCCAAGAATTCCCAGCTCCTTCCCAGCAATCCCAGCTCCTTCCCGAGGAATCCCAGATCATTCCCAGCAATCCAATCTATTCCCAAGCATTCCCAGCCACTTCCCAAGAATTCCCA